CCCCCCCCCCCCCCCCCCCCCCCCCCCCCCCCCCCCCCCCCCCCCCCCCCCCCCCCCCCCCCCCCCCCCCCCCCGCCGGCGCGCGGCCCCAAGTTTCTGTAGTTTGAAGCAGTTTGAAAATTTCAAATATACAGTACAACTGGACGACATACATATCAACTAAAATATTCAAAGTATGATATTTCCCATATGAAACTTGTACTCTTCAGTAAATGATTTGTTTTTCGCCGATCTAACGGTATATTGTAGTGATATCATTTGTCTTCTTAAATTCCTTAAGATATATTATAGATATTCATTACAGCATTTTTGTTCTACGTACAAATTTTTGTGTCTAGTCTTTTTTAATCTTATTTTGCTTTTGTACTCTGTACATGCTTTTTCAACTGCATTATTAAACGGCTATAATTTTTATTATGACGTAAATTTTTAAATGGTAAATACTGTTTAATACGAGAAATAAAACTGATCGTTCATTATGAATAAAACGTGTGTTTATAGAGAAATAACATGATTAAAAAAAAAGACTTTTTTATTGAAAAAGATTCTTTGAAACACTGATGTTATTATAATTAGAGAGAGAATATGAACAAAGCATTAGAAAGTCTCTTATGCAACTGGTCAATATGATACTAAAATAGTTATATCTAGTTTCGAGAGTGCATGAGATATTTACCTGATTTTTTTAACTTGAAGTATTTTATTGAAAACTGAAACTAAATTGTATGTACAAAAACTAGAAGGCAAGTATACTGAGAGAACATTGTAAAAACGTAAAAATAATCTACACAGCTCTATTCATACAGGTGAAAAAGCTTAACTAGGCACAAAGCATAAATCTAAAATTGCACACTAGTGAAATCAAACCGATTTTAAATGAATCCAAAATTGTAATCTTTAGAGCATTTCTGTCAGATAGTCACAGAACTAATACAGACATCCACTACTCTCTGTATACAATAGCAAATCGAACTTATAACATATACATACTTATGCTTAGGCAGTAAGCAAGGAAATCTAGTTTATCAAATAGCTCAAGCACCCGCTTAATCGTAGATTTTTTGGGTCAAATAGCTAACTGCGTCGAGCAAATGCCCGCTTGCTAGCTGCAGGCGGTCGATCCAGTGGCCGCTTAATTGAGCGATTAGCGTCCAATTCAAACACATCAGCTAGCTTCAGTTTTACAACTGCTTATTAGTTAGTTAGACTCGAAGATAATTCATTTCTGAAAGAATCAGAGAAGATACCATGACCGGTTTCGACCTTTCTCAAGGATCTCGTCAGATTGTTTCCTTTGAGAAAGACAGAGTTAAACACGACAAGCAACACAACTCAGTTCGAGCTAGTCTTATGAAAGTTATTGTTCCTTATTCGATAAGAACAAGGAATAGTAACACCCTCGCACGGTGTGCACTGAGGTGTGTTGCTTGTCGTGTTTAACTCAGTCTTTCTCAAAGGAAACAATCTGACGAGATCCTTGAGAAAGGTCGAAACCGGTCATGATATCTTCTCTGATTCTTTCAGAAATGAATTTTCTTCGAGTCTAACTAACTAACAAGCGGTTGTAAAATTAAACTAAATAAAATTTGTATCAAGTCGAGTTTCAGACTTTATTAGATTATCCTGATGCATTCTTCAGACTTCTCATTATGTCCAGTGATTGCATCATTCCTTGAACCAAGTTTAGATTTCGAAGCCGGGTGTGTTAGTAACCAATGACTAGGATGTGCACAATCCAAATACGCCTCATGTTGTCATGCATCCGATGAGTAAACACTAAACATTTCACACAAAGCAACATGGATCACTTAGCAGAGAAAAACGTGTATGAGGTACATTACAGGCTGAACACCTGCATTTCTACTAATTAGCATATTTTTCTTATAAGCGTCTGAACATGAACAAGAAAAGAAAAATGACTGGTTCCATACTTTAGCATCAGCGTGTACTCATTGACGGTAGCACTGCTCTCTCATTAGAAAAAGAGAGTTTAGATACCCATTTTAGTAGAAGAACTTGATAAATATTTCCTGGCAGCTGTACGGTAGAGATAAGACGCAAGAGATTCTCTTGAATACTTTAATATATCACGGTTCATTTTTAAAATAATCATGACATATCGGTCTCAATTTTACTACTCTAACTGAGAAAAAACATTTGGCCAAAAAACCGCTGCCTTAGGTAAAAATCAAGCATTCGACCTTTCTTGTATTTACAAAGCAAGCATGACAGTTGTCAGACATAGCACCAATTTTACAAGAATCTTTCTGAATTGGTCAATCATCCCCCCTGATCAACCTATCTTAAAGCAGAAGAAATGTCAGTCTCCAAATTGATAATAAATAAATAAAGCTTGTGTAACACTTGAATACTCATTGCTATTAGTATCATGCTGTTATAAATGTCGAACAGATCACAATGTATAGTCATTATTCAACTATAGAAATGAAAGAAACAACATTTTAGATGACATCAGAGTTAATAGCAAAAATTAATTGATGTGTGAATCTTCCGAGTGATTTCATTTATGATTGCATTTGTGTAAAAAGATGATAATGTGCCAGGAAAATGGTATTTTTGATTATGTCGTCACTACCGCATCTTAACTCACACTAAATTCATCTGAATATCCGTATATTTATGCCCATTTTACGCTGAAGTAAGAAATTCATCGTTTATTTAAATATTCTATATCTTTTAATAATATGACAGTCAATGTATTGCCAAATTCGTCGGATGAAAACCAGTCTACAACTATACATACATCAATTTCTCGTACTCTAAATGACATGAATGTGTGTGTGTGTATGTGTATTTCGTTTAACATTTGTATTCTTTT